GGTTCGAAAGTTTCGTCTCGCGATTTCTCACCTAATTATGCAATTAGTTTTTTTTTCGTCTACGTTTAGTACTTTATGCATGTGCCGCAAGATTCGATGTGATGAGCTGCGCAAAATTTTTTGGAATCTAAACGGGCCCTAAAAAGGTACTACCATTGGATCAAATTCGGTGCACTGACAAAAAAAGAAAAAGACATTTGTCTTGCAGCAACTGGGTCCAATTAATAAATATGGGACGTGATTTATCAATGACAACATCCAGTGGCGTAATTAGCCACTCAGGCAGCAGCCACAGAAGTACTAGTAGTACTCCGGTGAAGCTCTGTAATTGCCCCAGGTGAAGCTCTGTAATCTGCGCGATTCGCTGTCAGTGTTGCGTCGATCATCCATGCAGCAGGAGCAGAAGCAGCTAGCATCTTGCGTCGATTCGCTGTCAGTGTTGACGACGCTGGACAAAGACGCAATGGCCGTTCGCTTCAGGAATTTGGAGGAACGTAGATGGTTTTGATGAATATGGAGGAATTTGTGAGAGAAAAACACTGTTACAGATGAAAAAAAGAAGCGGATTAAGTTTAAAAACACGTGAACAGGGCTAATCTTTCCCGTCGAGATCTGTCCCCGCCTGCCACCGTTGCCGGACTTAAATTTCGCCGTGGACTGGCGGCCCGGCCGGTGGGCCGCCGATCACCGATCAGATGCGCTCGCGCGCGTGCTAGCTCCCGCAATTATTTGCCGGCCGGCCGGCGCCGTCGCCGTCTCCACGTACGCTCGCCGCGGACCACCGGCCGGCTCCGGCGGGCCGGTTTATTGCTGTTGCCATCGCGGTGTTATATGGGGTGCAGTCGAGCTGCTCGGCTTCTATGTCCTATCACTCTCCACGGAGCACATGCGTGTGTGATCGCTGTTCTTGTGCAGGACCCAAATCAATAGGATTCAGGAAAGGATCAATTGGTGTTACTGCTGCCCGATTGACACGTTCGATAATGCATGATGACGTTGCCGAGGCTTGGGAGAAGACCGATCTTCCCGGCCGGCTTAATAGTTCATCCGCTAAAGTTCAGTTTCGGACACGTGCATGGAGTATTAAATATAGATTAAAAAAACTAATTGCACAGATTGTGACTACTTTGCGAGACGAATTTTTTAAGCCTAATTAGTCCATGATTTGACAATGTGGTGCTACGGTAAACATATGCTAATGACGAATTAATTAGGCTTAATAAATTTGTCTCGCGAATTCACGAGGACTTCTGTAATTTATTTTATTATTACTATCCGAACACTTTCATGTGGCACTCCTTTTTAACACCCGACGTGACACCCCTAACTTTAAACACCACCTTACTTGTTGGCAGTTTATTTAGCAATCAATCATCAGTTCGTCACCACACGTAGTACAACAGTAAACAGTACAAGTACAACACCATTGGTTGTAGTGGAAATATTGGCCCGTCGTGACTCGTGACTAGGTGAGGATTAGTCAATTTGTGGCAATTCTAAAAACTGCAGCTAGCAGCAGATATATACGCCTTGGTTGGTAGTGTGTGGCAGCCCGGCCGGTGTTGCCTCGCAAGTGCCGTTCGACGTGGTACGCCAGTATAGAGCGTACAGAGCACAGCTACACGGCACAGGGAATTTTATTCCGGACGACATCATGATGCAGAAACGGAAACTTTGGCCTGCGTTCCACCGCCCGCCCCGCGGATTTATTTCTCGCCCGCCGCTGCCGTCTCTGCGGGGAGGGAGAAGGAAGTGGAAATGGAAGGCCGGCACCGGCAGCGCTGGCCGCCCCGGGAGCACCGGCACGTGACGCGCATATAAAAACTAGCTGCGTCGGCGTCGGCGTCGCCCTGCCGCGCGTTGCTAGCTTGGACTTGGAGCGAGTCAATGCGGCCCTTGCCCCCGCCGCTGTCCAACTCCAGCCCCACGCACTCAGTCAGATCACGCAGAGACAGAGAGATTTGTGACCAACACAATCCAGTTTTCAGACAGAACAGGAGTGTTATTACTCTGCTACTACTAACACGCACTACTTTAGGAGTAATTAAATTAAAGTCTGTCTTACACTATCTCTGCGGGTGGACCTAGGAGAGAAGATAACAGCAATGCCATGCTACTACTGCATCTGCATTGCATGGCAGGTGGCAAGGGGCAAGGGCTGGCTGATCAGCAGTACAGTAAGCAGGAGTGACCGAGTGAGCATCCAGCTCCAGCAGCAGCAGAGCTGGATCTGGATATCTGATGATTAGCGTATCTTATCGGAGTCAGAGGGCGATTAACGGGGGTCCGTACGTACGGGGGCGGGGCCGTTAAGCCTGATAGCAGTAGGGCACAGCCTGCCCACTGCCCAGACGGTCAGGTGTGTGCCCCCAACCCAGGGCTCTTTTTCAGGTCTTCGCCTCACCCTCACCAGTTCGCTATTAATGCGGTTAGCTTCTTTGGCCCGGGTCTTGTTTAGATCACCTTTAAATTCTAAGTTTTTTTACTCTCTTTCCATCACATCAATTTTTGAATGTATACATAGAATATTAAATATATATAAAAAAAATAATTAATTATACAGTTTGGTTGTAAATCACGAGATGGATCTTTTGAGTCTAGTTAGTCCATGATCGGACAAAGTTTGTCAAATACAAACAAAACGTGCTATAATGTCCAGGTTGCAAAAATTTGCAATCTAAACAAGGCCCCGGTTCGTTGGCTGAAAAACAGGCCTTTTTTTAAGCAGGAAAGAGTAGCAAAAAAAAGAAGAAAAAATGGGCATGAGGAGTAATAAATGCTCCTCCTCTTTTGCCGCGCTACATTACCATTGCCCGGTGCCCGACGCAAGCAGGGGCTTAGACCTGTGTGCCTGTGTCTGTCCTCATGCGGAAATTAGACCGCATCACTCGGTAAAAAGGAAATATACTCTTTTACTCCTACCAGTAGTATACGTATGGTAATTACGTAGTACTACTCCGTACTGATTTGTCTACTCCTGCCAGGTTACTACAAAGCGCTGCTGGACTTTTTTGCCACATTTCCACTGCGGTCTGCAAAGCAGATAGACTAGACTGCCTCGATACAGGACTAGAGTAGGCAAACACTGGTCTACTGTCGGTTGGTTAATTTGCCAGACGCCGTGTTTAGTTGAAGGGCAAATTCCAAAAAGTTGCTACAGTACCTGTCACATCGAATGTTTGCGGCCCGTGCATGGAGTATTAAATGTAGACGAAAAGAAAAACTAATTACACAGTTTGGTGGGAAATTACGAGACGAACGTTTTAAGCCTAATTAGTCAATGTTTGGACACTATTTACCAAATAAAAACGAAGGTGCTACAGTAGCCCCAAAATCCAAAATTCGCGAACTAAACAAGGGCAGAGTGTAGGTGAAGGCAGGCAGAGAGGGCAGCAATCAGAGGCAGAATGATTTTTACCATGATTCCATTCTTTTGATTTTTATTTATTTTTTGGCACGATTCATTTGATGGTTGTTGAGTCGATCGATGCAATGCGAGTGATTGCATAGTGCTTACAAAGGCTGTCTCAGCGTCACCTCTCGTGCTGCTTCCTTGTAGCCTACTCAAATCCTCGGGAATTTCAGCCATCATTTGGGAGCTTGATGCAAGTGTTGACGGCTTCACTTTCACATCATGAGCAATCAGATCCCAAGACTAGAGGTCTAGAGCACAGATAGGAATGTGAAACTAGTAAGAAATCCTTCCGAAAAAATATTGAAAGAAAATAAAAGTGAAATCCATCCTCTCTCCTCTAAAGGAATATGTCTATTTTTAACCATTGAACTATTGCTGCAGTCCGATTTTAGCCACTGAACTAAAAAGACAAATATCTTGTTTGTCTTGCCTATATTTGCATTTTCTAAAAATAATAAAATATGACTTAATATCTAAAAAAATCAGACCTAATATTTTAAAAAATCAGAAAAAGAGGTCGGTACCAAATTTTTCTTAAGCATAATATATTAGTTGTTTCTCTGATTATAATTATAATTATTTGAATTTTATTTGTTACTATTTCTAGTGTTTTATTGCTCGTATCCATGATGACTGTTTATTTAAATTTTTATTTTGTGCTTTACTACTTTATGTTGATCAAATGATTAGTTGATTGCATAATATTCTTGTTTTAAACATATTACCTAGTCGGGCGATGAAAGTAAAGTAAAGCTCTAACCATGCAATGCCCAAATAGGATTTTTATATAGTGGAGCATGATCTCAATGAGGTTTGTGTCGCCTTCGCAATAGAAAAATAAGATCAAGATAATTGTAAATAAAATGTCAATAGATATATATTATTAGTAGAAAAATAGTACCGATTTAGTATATTTGTCATTAAGATAAATGAACTATAACTTTTTAGAGAATAAACCATATTTTATTGTCGTTAGAAAATACATATATAGGCAAAACCACCTTTGAAATAAGCTAGAGGGTCATATTTGTTCAGTTTTCATAGATGGGTAGTAAAAAAATGTTTGTTTTTTAAGTTCAATGGCCAAAATCAATCTCTAACATTATTTTGTCGATAAGAAAAAAAAATGACCTTTCCTATCCACCCCTCCCGAAAGCGTAAGCATACAGGACAACGTTGATCTATAAACTTCATTACATTTATCAGGGGAAGGCGTGTCATTTTAGGATATTTAATTTCTTCCCTCCGCCAATAAATGTTGAAAGTTATATTGGTGATTGTGTTTGTTTTGATATAAAAACATCATACATTTATACACGAATGGAATGCCATTTTAGAATACTTAATTTATTCCCTCTGCAAATAAAAAATGTTGCTTTCGTTTTTCTAGGTTCAGAAAAGTACATCTCCTTTATCGGTAGTTGTTTTAGAGAAATGAATATGCTATTGTGCAACGATGCGCTCAATACCAAACATTGTTTGGTATAAATACCAAGTCATGCTTTTGACAAATCCGGATTTATATTTGCGAACACAAAATTTGAAGGTGTTCATCAATTTATTTCAGAATTAATGCATAACTAGTTCAAAAATCATAACTGTCAACAACTGTGTAGTTCAAAAGTGGCTCATATCTACAGGAAACACAAGAAAAAAACAGTACTAGTGAAATCGAATTATTACATGAAATCCCCACCAAACTTCGGATGGCTGTGTAAAACAAAAACACACCACACACTCTAGTCTGATGATCCAGCCTGTTCGGGAGGCCGTATCGTATCGTAGATTATTTACTGCTGGCTGGTTTGGTGTGAGAGAAAAACACTATTCCCGACTGGAAATTTACGATCGTTTACGAGCAAGCGAACAGGCTTGTGACAAGTGATCGATCCCCTGCATAATACAGCGGTGGATATTGTCACTGTAAATTCTCAGTCTCTAGTCATGAAGAGTGTCAACTAACGAAAACTGCAAATCTGTCGGCCCCATGCTGTTCCTGCTGCGACACAGCACTCATTATTCTTTTTACAATAGTGCTGCCCGAGTTTGTACCAAAAAAAGGTGTCCTACAGTGCTGTGTCCGATTCACAGCACTTCATCTGTTGCTAAAACATGAGCTCCCAGAGCCCTGGGTCGCATGGAAACAGTTCTTACCGGGCATCACACACTACACTCACAATTTGAATGCGCACAGCAGTGTCCTGCACGCAGGGCATCCACGAGAACGAACGCCTGCTAGATGCCACAGCTCATGTCGTACGGCTTGTCCACCACGGGCGACGGCGTGTTCATCCAGTAGGACGCCGACCTCATCTCCATCGCCGTGTCCGACGTGACGTTCTTGTCCTTGAGGCTCTTCCTGTCGAGGAACGCCGGCTTCATGGGCGCCGGGACGGACTGGTCGCCCTTCATCGTCAGCATCAGCACGACGTCCGACATGGCCGGCCGGAGGTTCGGGTACGGCTGCACGCACAGCAGCGCGATCTGGCACACCTGCTGCACCTCCTTCTCGTCGAGCCCGTCGGCCTGCACCTTCGGGTCCACGAGCTCCAGGATCTTGGACTGCTCGTAGAGCCGCCATGCCTGAAATGTGTTTCATAGACCGACAATGGTTGGTTCATCGATCAGAATGCCAATCTCATACCAGCACTAGGCTAGAACTGGATTCAATCAGAGAGCAGCATACGTGTTCTGGGAGGTACTGCATCTCGTTTGGAAGAGACAGGTCCGTGTTCTTCCTGCTGCTGACGATCTCGAGCACGAGCACGCCGAAGCTGTAGGTGTCGGCTTTCACCGTGAGCTCCCCTCTGATGGCGTATTCAGGCGCAGTGTAACCCCTGAATGAAAGTAGATCATACATTACTGCACCGTTTACATTATTGTGAGATACAAAAAAAAAGTGAAATGGGTTCATTCAGATGACTTACAAAGTGCCGGCAAACGCAGTGCTGAGGTATGTCTGGTCCTCGGGGAAGAACCTGGCCAAGCCAAAGTCGCCGATCTTGGGCTGGAACTTGTCGTCCAGGAGGATGTTGCTGGCCTTGATGTCGCGGTGAACGATCCTCAGGTTTGACTCCTCGTGAAGGTACTGCAAGCCTCGTGCGATGCCGATGATGATCTGGTGCCTGGTTCTCCAGTTCAGAAACGGCGAGTCATCACCCCCTGCAAATTGTTGACAATTAGGAGTCCATGAGCAGCTAAGCCAAAGCACCAGTCTTTTCTCCCCCAATAGACGACGGACATCCAGGGACTTCATGCTTACCAAACAGTATCTTGTCCAAGCTTTTGTTCTTCATGAACTCGTACACCAGCAGCCGCTGGGACCCCTCGGAGCAGCACCCCACGAGGCGCACGAGGTTCTTGTGCTGGATGCTTGTGATCATGTTCACTTCGACGAAGAACTCTGACTCGCCCTGCCCAGACTTGCCGACGCTGAGCTGCTTCACTGCAACTTTCCTACCGTCGTCGAGTTTCCCCTGATGGACAGCAGCATAGCAAAAGGAATCATGTAGAATCACAAGTCGCCGAGCAATACAAAACTACAAATGCAGTATAATTTTTCACATTTTCGCCATACAAATTTACCAGATAAACAGGCCCAAAGCCTCCTCTGCCAAGTTGGTTTTTTTGGTTGAAGTCCCTGGTGGCCTTCTTCAGCGTAGCATAATCGAAGTAGGTGATCGTCCGGAGGTTTCCGCTCATGTTGCTGCTGAAGTACTCAGGAACATCTGGTGTACCAATCAGAATTGCCCGATTTGTATTGCTTAGCAAAGATGCTATGAATGAAAAATATGTGTTGTTCCAGAGTGGATGGTCATGATTTCGTTCACCTGAACCAGGGCTTCTTGGCCGCATCAGCTTCCTCATGATGTCTGGTTTGAGGAACTTCCAGCAGATACCAAGCAGGATTATAACGACAATGGCGAGAATGACGATGAAGACGAGGAAGACCGTCCGAGGCTCTGGAGATGCCATTGCTGCTCCTTACTTCTGCCAAAGCAAAATTACATGCAAGAATCAACAATCTCAGAATTTCAGCAGTAAGATGTTAAAAAGTTCTCTCTCTTTTTTTTTTTGGCTAATCAACAAATGAACTCCAGCTATACCGAACTGAATGAAAGATTGAATGACAACTCCATGCAGTAATCAAAGCGGACGAGAGAAGTTTTGTTAATAGAAGGCACGATTCGTCGGAGCAGTAATTGTCTGTGGAGAAGAATCAACTACTATCACCAACAGTTAACTACTATCACCAACTGATGAAAGGTCGAGCTCAACGAAGAGCTGGGTTAAGCATCATCGAAGGATACAAAAATCCTCCAAAGTTAACATAACGCGCTTGCCATCCTCCGAAAAAGAAAAAACATAACGCGCTTGCCGGCACGACCTTGTCATGCATTGTAGCAACTTTTCGTCTAACAAAACTTAATTAATTAAATGATCACCCTTTTCATTTCAGACTCAGTCAGCGATCTAATCAAATACTTTGCACTATTTATGAACTACTTTTAGGCCCCGTTTGGTAGGGCTTCTCCAGCGGCTTCAGGAGCCGTTTGGAGCCGTTTTCTGCCAAACGGGGTAAAATGAAACGGCTCCACCGATGAAGCCCCTAAAAACGTGCTCTCACAGAGCTCTGGGGTGGGAAGGAGCCAAAAATAGTGGCTTCTCCCGGCTCCTCCTCCAGGCCCCTAAAAACATGCTCTCACAGGGAAGCCATTTTGCCAAACGGTTTACCAAAACCGCTTCAGCTCCACCGGTGGAGCTGTTCGTAGAGCTGAAGCAAAAAAAAATAGCTTCACTAGTGAACTAGTGAAGTGAAGCCCTGCCAAATGGTGACTGTAAATACAGAGAGTACGTCGATACGGCAAAAAGAAAAAGGAAAAAAGAAACACATCACAGCGTTTTTCCCGGAAAGCACACGGCGAACCAAATTGAATCACCATGACGGAGCTTCCGTAGCTCCATGGCTAATGCCTACTCAAGTTTCACTACCGACGTGAACCAAACAAAAACTGTGTTCGCTTACATTGCAGTGGCCACCGGAAGGCCGACCTGGTCAGTCGCCGGTGACGGTCACCGGACTCGCGAGTCTTGCCCCTATCTCCCAGTTCCAGCCACTACCGCGCGCGCATCCCCCGGCCGCCAGGCGTGCGTCGATCGGCAAGTCGTGACTCGTGAGCGAGCAAGCGACGGGGACAGAGCGGGGGCAGGGGATGGGGAGGCTTCCAATGCCGAGACGACGGCATAGTTATCGGTTTCTCCGAGGGAGATTTAGGCTGTAGCCCCGCTCGCGTGGCGCGTCCGGCCCGGTCCGCCAACGCGCGGGCGCTGGCACTGCCGGCCGCGCGAGAGAGAGCCAAATGAGCTAGCTTGCGCGCAAACCGGAACGAACCAGCCTTGCTGCGAATAGATTATCGGGCGGGCAATTCCTGGCGACTGCGACGTGGTCGGGCTCGTTTCTAAAACTCTGGATTTTGGCGCCGGACACGTCAGCAGGACCCGGGTGGATGGGTCTTGCAGCTGGAGCGGGCGGCCAAGAGGCCGCTCCCGCTGGAGTCGGCGCCCGGCGGCTGTTCCGTTCGCCGCGCGTGCGTGCGTGGGTAGAAGGAGCGCGCGCGTGCGCGGGAGGGACGGGATGGCCGGATGGGCATGGGCCAGGCCCAGACGGATAGGCAGGGACAGACATGGGCTGCTTTTGCCACGGCACCATGCAGCAGCAGCAGCAGCAGCAGCCACCAGCGGATGTGTGAGGAAGGCAGTTGGGCTCGCGAATGTGCACACCAGGCACCACCGCAGGCCGCAGCACAATTCGGCCCAGTTCTCACGCGGGAGTCGAACTCGAACCACCAGTGTGCGGCTGGCCGCTGGCGGGACGCAACGTTCTCCCTGTGCGGTGCCTGTGCCTCGCCTTTCCCATGGCCCCACATGTCCAGAGCCACCACACGGTCCCACCCGCCAGACCGAAACGCCCGGCCCGCCCGGAGAACCCAAAAAAATCGCCAGCGCATTTCAAACACCGACACCGAACGAACGAATCCCTCTCCACGGATCAAATCGAATCAAACGCTCTGCCTAGGGTTTCCTCCCCTTTCCCCACCCGACCCCCGCGCCGCCCACCCATGGCCGCCGCCGCAGACGCGCCCGCCGAGGCCGCCGCCATCGCGCGGCGCCTGGCCTCCTGCAACACGGGCACCCGGGAGCTCGCGCTTCGCTACCTCCTCTCCGACTTCCTCCCCGCCTCCGCGCCGCGCCTCTCCGCCACCGACCTCCTCAAGCTCTGGAAGGGCCTCTTCTTCTGCTTCTGGCACGCCGACAAGCCGCTCTACCAGAGCTCCGTCGCCACGCGCCTGGCATCCGCGGTCTCCGCGCCGCCGTCTCCCGCCAACGGCGCCGCCTTCCTCGCCGCCTACCTCACCACGCTCCGCCGCGAGTGGGCCCACATCGACGTCCACCGCCTCGACAAGTTTTACCTCCTCAACCGCCGCTTCCTCCACCACGCCTTCCTGCTCCTCAGCGCCAATTCCTTCGCCCCCGACGTCACCTCCCAGGTCGTGTCCGTCCTGTCGGATAAGGCCCTGCTCCCGGAAGCCGATAACGTCGCCGCAGGCACCTCCCGGGGCCTCGGGTACCATGTCGCCGAGGCGTTCCTTGACGAGCTCTTGCCCGTGCTCCCTGTCAGCCTGGAGACGATGGACGCCCTGCTGGCTCCGTTCTTCACTGTACTGGAGAAGTCGACTGATCGGGTGATGGTGAGTAAGGTGAAGGCAGGCGTATTTGAGAGGTTACTGGAGAGCGGCAGTCGGTTGCTTGAGACGGTGAAGAAAGGGAGGAGGTGCAGAAGGGTAGTGCTGAGGAGAAGCTCAGGAAAATTGGATTGCTGTTTGGATTCAGCAAGAGGTTCCTGGATATTGGTGCAAAGGCAGAGACGGTGCAATCGAACCGGAAGGTGGTCTTTGGGTTGAGGGATGCATTTGTGAAGATCGAGAAGGGTTTGCAGCTATCTGGTCTTGAGATCACTATGCCAAAGTTTGAGGCTGCTGAGGTGCCAGTGCTACCAAATGCAGGCGAGGAAAAGGTACAAAAGAAGAAGAAAAAAGGCCAAGAAGGCTGCATTGGCTGAAGGTGAGATGGAGGAGACCAAGGATTTGAAGCGTGAGAAGAAGGTAAAGAAGGACAAGAAGGAGAAGAAAGAGAAGAAGAAAAGAGGAAGGTGAAGGTTGATGAAGGGAACATTGCTGAGAAGATTACTGATGCTCCTGTAGATGACCAACAGATGGGTGATGGCACTGACGGCATTACATTTGATGAGACATTAAAGTCCAATCTTCAGAAGCAGTTTGAGATGGCTGCAGCAGAAGCTGGTATGCCCAAAGGGGCAGCAGCTCAGGCGCTTCACCAGTGACACCAGCTAGTGGGAAAGTGGCAACAAAGAGGAAGCGTTCAAAATCTGCTGATAAGCTGTCTGAAGCTTCTGATGGGGATGATGGCAGCGAAGGTAATCTTCTTGCCGGGATGGAGAGAAGAGTGGTAAGAGGGTGAGGTTCTCGATGAAGAATAATTTAGTTTGAAACCTCACAATCCTTTGCCACCGCAGTGTTTGAGGCTGCCACCTTCGGCTACTCCAAGGGAAGCGCACTAAAAAGGGCGTTCAGCCAGGGCCCTTAACACCGGCGCCATTGAAGAAGGCTAAGCCAAAGGCAAAATCTGCAAAGAAGGTCTTGAAGAAGCAACCTTCATCTGCTGTGAAGCGCGCTTATGGAAGTTGCAGAGTTTCTCAGCATGAGCTTTTGGTGTATGACTCCATGATGGTCATAACTTTGTATCTTTTTTGTTTTGGTTTATCATTACTTGAGTCTTATCCTTTTTGTAGGTTAGATACTATGTTGACTTCGCTGTCAGTCATATTCGATGAATTGCTTAATGTTTGTGTTGTCACTGTGCTTTATGATAATCATGTGGTGATTGCAACAGTAGTACTGTGGTTGTTCTTATGTTTTTGGCAGTACTTGGTTTCCTGATGCACCCCTTTCTTTCCTGAACTGCCCATCTTGCAGCCACGGTTGCAGGTTAGAATATTGTTTGATATGTTATGTCACTGTTGGTACTCTGTTTAAGCTGAAGATCAATATAGGCATGCAGCCAGCCGAGCCATTGTGGTTTCTATTTAGATTGTTCTGTTTTGATATGGCTATTCTAGATTTTGTGGTTATTTTGAAATTTGCTGAACTGTAGACAGACGCAATCTGTAAAATTTCTAATGACGTTGATAATGTTTTTAAATGTCTAATTTGTGGTAAATTGAATTTGACTCCATCCTGTAATTCAGAAACTTTCAGTAAGATGCAGGTTTTTTTTAACTTGCCCTGATCTATGTTCTGGAAATGTTTAGCAGACAAAAGTACTTACGGTAATTTATTAGTTCATTCAAACCTGTTATTTTGTTCTGCTCTTCTTAGCCCAGGATGCGCCAATATCCAAGCTGTTCAGTTTCAGCAAATAAGCTTTGCTTTACCATTGGTCCTGAATTTGTATCTGCTGTGCAATTTAACAATTGCATCATGTTGACAACTGTTGCTTCGTGCTAATTTACTTGTGCTGTTTGCTGATCACCGTGGTCATGTGCTGCCTGTATCTGAATGCCAAGCCGGTGCCGTCAGAATTTTGTTCAGAATCCTCAACAGCTTGAGTAAACTATGTTACTATTTCTTGTCCACTTCTCTAAACACTTCAGGGCTTGCACTGCATGGTGGTCCTGTTTGTATCTTTTTTTCTCTGGTTTATCAGTACTTAATTCTTGCCCTGTGTTGACTTCACTGCCGATCCATATTTCATGGATTGCTTAATGATTTTTGTTTTCACTGTGCTTTTATGATAAGCATGCTGTGATTGCAATGGCAATGGTAGCAGCAGTAGCTCTTATTTTCCTGGAGCCCTTGGCTTCCTGATTGACCCCTTTCTGTCCAAAATCCATCTTCTTGCAACACCGTTTGCAGGCTAGAATATTGTCTGATGTTTTGAAACTGTTTGTACTCTTCACTTTGACGATCAATGCAGCCATTGTGGTTTCTGTCCAGATTGTTCTGTGTTGGGTTTGATTGCTGAATAGTGGACACTGGACAGACACGATTTGGAAAATTTTGGGGTGGGGCAATGGGCACCGGCGCCTTGTTTTGGCCTCACCTCTGCAAGCGTGTCTGACTGACTGTGATACACTCATACATCAGCAGTGAATTACTACGATCGTGATGGAATTATGGAATTGACCGTCATTATGAGTTTGACGGATGACTCGGTTCACTGGAAGCTTGAGCAAGCTCCCCGTTGGATGGAACTGGAACTGCCCCATCAAAGATAGCTTGCGCTATTTTTAAGCAAGCCGTGCAATAATCTCAGAGGAAGCCCGGCACGCCGCCTGCTTTCCATTGCCACTTCCACCGCATGCCATGCAAATCCTCTCCCGCGACCGCGAGCGATTCATCGGAACGCCGTCCATGATCGAGACAGGATGACGTCGCCGCTGGCACCTTCCCCGCCGGCGCGTCAGGGCATGCAGTCGCCGTCGCCGACGACGAAGGTGGCTCCACCGCCGCTGCCGCCGCCGCCATTGGCCGTGGACGCTGCCGTCATCATGGGCGTGCTCACGGCCGTGCTCCTGGCGCTCTTCCTCTTCCTCATCTACGCCAAGCACTGCAAGGAGCGCGGCCCCGGCGAGGGGCGCCGGCGGCCTGGGCCTCGGGTTCGCGCCCTCCTCGTGCGACCGCTGCCGCTCGGGGCTCAGCAGCTCCGCGGTGGGCGCGCTCCCGGTGGTCCGGTTCGGCGACGGCGACGCCGACGCCGGCCGCGCCACCGAGTGCGCCGTGTGCCTGGGCGCCTTCTACGCCGCCGAGCTGCTCCGCGTCCTGCCCGCCTGCCGCCACACCTTCCACGCCGAGTGCGTCGACACCTGGCTGCGGGCGCACTCCACGTGCCCCGTCTGCCGCCGCCGCGTCACCAGGGGCCACGTGGACGTCCCCGAGCCGGAGGAGCTGGCGGCTGGGGCGAGGACGTCGGTGCCCGGCCGGCGGTCGGCGGGCGACGCGGAGGTGCAGGTGGAGGTGGTGGTGCACCGCGCGCGGGACCAGCGGTGGTCCACCGACGGCTTGGTCGGCCGGGTCGCGTACCTCGAGGCCGCCAGGCATCGGAGGGACGACCTCGGCATCCTAGTGGTCACCGCCGACGGGTCTCGCAGCTCCCGCAGCGTCGTCATGCCGCGGTCCTGCTAGCTGGCTGCGCTCACGGCTCATCTGCTGCTCCGAGATCGATCGAGCTTCTGTATCCTAGGTAGCTGACGCTCGTTCACCGATCGATCAATCGATCACCTGCATGTACATAGTTCGCGACACATCGGTAGTACAGTGATAGCATGGTAGGGTGAAGTGAAGACTCTTGTAAACTGTAATCTCAATGTGCCAGTGAGGCAGCGAGGTGATGTAGACCACTTATGGATGAAGTTCCAGATCAGAAAGTTGCAAACCTTTTCTTTTTTTTTGTGTGGCCACCAAATCTCTGGTGTTACGATTTGCGATGGAACACCATGGTTTATCCATTGTTGGAACTAGCAGACACGCTGAATAATCTTATACTAGATGATAAAATGAATGTAAGATTAAAAAAAAACTCTGAAAATGTGACTCCGTTAACAACATTTCGGCACTCGAGAAATTAGCAGTCCTGTAATTCTTTACAAAAAAGAATCACCTTCAAGATTATGAATTGTGAATTTAAAAATGAACTTTGCTATTTATCTGTTGATAGATTTATTCGTGCTAAATCTGTCAAATTTATGTGCGTTGGATTACACTTTAAGATTCGTGTTCCCATTGAATTTACGCTTTAAGATACATGTTCCCATTGTGCTAAATCTGTTTGTGTGTTATTGGATTTTTGTTCCAGCTACCCGTTAAGTGATCTTTGGTTAGTTTTGTGGAATTTGACATATTTGTTGATACATCTATATGTCAGATTTTGTGATGAACTGATAGGTCAAAAAAACCAACAGTTTTGGCTGCACAAATCTGAACAGATGGATAAACAGTCCCTTTAAAAGTTGATGTTTTTTTTGGGTTCTTCTGTTTTCCTGAACGACCGTTACAGATAAGGCCAGAAGTGCCGTACGAGCCTCCCAACGGCCGCCCGATCACACACAGAGTCACGCGCACACCGCGGCGCGGCGCAGCGATTCCCCGCCATGGCCACCACCTCCGTCGCCGCCGCCTCCCCCCACCCCTACCTCTCCCGCTCCCGCTCCCGCCGCCGGAACCCCAGCGCCACCTCCAGAGCCTCGGTTCGGGGTCGCCTCCCGCCAATCCGGTGCTCGTCCGCCTCCTCGTCGCCACCGCCGGCCACCGGCGGCGAGGAGGGAGAATCGGGGCGCGGGCGGCTGTCTAAGCAGTCTTCGTGGGAGGCGAAAGACGCGGAGGGGGACGACTACCTCTACCGCCTTGGGAAGGAGGCGGACAACTTGAACGTCACCGTCGGCGCACGGTCCGGCATCGTCGATGACCTCTTCGTCGGAAACTTCCTCGGGAAAGACTGTACGTGCTCTGCCACTAGATCGGCTCCCTACAGTCCACTGGTTCGATGGAGCGTCAGTTACTAAATCGACATACCTACATTTGATAAGATCATAAGAACAATGCTTGCTCAGCTTAACTCAGTGTGCTACACTATGTAAACATATTGACGTGCTTGGAAAAAAATCAAAGGGACGAGTTAAAAGATTTTGATAGCCTGGGTGCTATTTGGTTGCAGCGGATATTGTGTTCGATTACCGGCAGAAGGCAACTAGAACATTCGAGTACCTGCAGGGGGATTACTACATCGCACCCGCCTTCCTCGTGAGTTAATTTTGGATCACTGCAATTATGCTGCTTTTTATTCAGTTTTATATTATCTAATATCCGATTGGCGAAGATTTGACACTGCAGATTCGTTTGGTTGCAGGATAAAGTTGGTAAGCACATTAATGTAGAAGGAACTTGGCAAGTATTCTTGTATTAAGGTATCAAATTTGAACAGTCAGTAATTTGGTATACAAGTGCTTCTTTCGATTTGCATTGGTCAATTTGCAGCTTTTACTTTTGCTCTTGCACTTGGCGTGGTAATTACTGGTTGTGATTCTACTGAGAAATGTATTAAATGGGAGTGGTTAGCATAAGGCGACCTTCTTTTTATAAAAAAAGAAATATAAGCCAACCAAATCATTAGACTGGATATGTTTTAGTCAAATACATAGACAATCTGAGGTCAGCCTGCAGATGAAATGTTAGTAACAATCATGCATATATGAATGAATGATTTTTCTGCTAAACTCATCTTTAATAATTGATTCTTGGTTTTGAGAGTGAGCTGTTGCTGCACAGTACATACAAACACCTTAATTCTTCAGGAACATGGATATCTCTTGTATGATTAACATATTTCTTGTTCTTCTTCCCAGGTACACGTACTAAAATCTAAAGGACTGTTTGTTGTTTGCAGCATGCCACATTGTAAAGAACTACAATGCACATCTTCTTAATAATATCAAGGTTCCCCTAATACTTGGTAGAGTAACCTAGTTCTTTGTTTCTGTAGTCTATTCTTGATATCTATTAATGTAATTGACCCTGATAGACTGCACTATGCAGGGATCTGGGGCGGAAAAGGCCAAGGGAAAACATTCCAGACTGAACTTATATTTAGAGCAATGGGTGTGGAGCCCGTTATTATGTCTGCTGGTGAACTAGAATCTGAAAAAGCAGGTCAAGAATCACTTGAACTATATATCCCTATGTGTTTTATCATTATACCATAATTTGCCCTGCTGTTCGAGTGCTTCTCACTTTGTTATTTTTTCATGCTAATGTGAACTTTATTCCAAACATTGAAAAACTTGTTTCACTTCTTCTTTTCCTTTGTATATACTTTCTTTGAGTATTTGATTAGTTGGGAAAGTGTGAACCGTCAAATTTGGTTCTTGGTGCTTCTGTTAATCCCCAGCTTCAAGTGGATAAAATTTGGTATTGTTCTGAACTACCAATTTTAGGAATATGAGGGAGAAGGGTCTCTCCATATTAGTTATGAAGGAAAATTAGTCACCATTATGTTTCACCAGATCTAAATGTGCAGAAATAGTAGGAATTGGTTGTTTTTCTTTCACAATTTTCTATCAGTTGCATGGTCTGAGAGTGTAGCTGCTTGTTGGTTGCTCAGGTATTTCTGTGCTCTGTTTGCAGGTGAACCAGGGAGACTAATACGTGATCGATACAGGACTGCCTCCCAAGTAATCCAAAACCAAGTAAGAAGGTGTTTGCAGTTACTCGATCTTAGATTTGAGCATTTCATGTTTAAGTTTCTTTTTCTGAATAGTGAGCATGAAATGTTTTGCAAATTTGCAAAGTTTAATCACAGAAGTTAATCATCTGCATACATGGGGATATAGTTGTCTAATCATTTTGGATGCTTCAGTATGTTAGTTTATCATTCACTTCCATATGAATTGGTAATAAATTTTTGACATGGTAAAAGTGTTCCTGAATTACCAAAAGTTGGTGCTATTTTAGTCTTCCATATTCAGGGATTGTGTTCTACTGTTCTGAATACGACAGCTAGTTCATAGTTGTTTTGCTCCTGGAGATTGTACCAAACAAAACATGCTGTGAATTTTGTTCATTTACCTTTTTCATAAGAAGCCACTTGGTTTTCACAAGGTTTTCAATGATACAGGGGAAAATGAGTTGCTTGATGATCAACGATCTAGATGCTGGTGTTGGAAGATTTGGTGGGTTATTTTCTGTACAGTTTATTTTTCAATGCAATTGTGAATAGGGTTTGTCCATTTTACCAGTTACATGCTATTTGGCAAGCTTTGTTTGCAAGGATGAAACCTCTCTTCTGTATATTTAAGAATATTTTTTCTTTTGGGCTAGGAATGTATACAGTTTTTGAATCTTCTTTGAGTTTGTTGTTCAAGAATATAGTTATTAGAAAGCAACTTAGTGCTATGTGTTTCTCTTGTTGCCAGGAAACACGCAGATGACAGTCAATAATCAAATAGCTGTCGGAACTTTGATGAACTTGGCAGATAATCCTAACAGGGTGAGCATCGGCCAGAAATGGAGAGAATCTGATGTTACACACAGAGTGCCAATAATAGTTACTGGAAATGATTTTTCAACTCTATATGCACCCTTAATTCGTGATGGCAGAATGGAAAAATTCTACTGGTATGTTGTCCTATCTGGAGCAGTTCTGTACAACGATGGATCACCAACTGAAACTTCTGGACTGGAGTATTTTAATTTCCATTTAGCTTTGTGTATAATTAGGTGTTTGCTTGCCTTCTTGGCATTGACATTTTATACAGTACAAAATTTGATAGCTGAAGATAGGTGCTGATTTCGTGAGGCATTCATTTTGTGCTTAACAGGCAGCCCACCCGTGAAGATATAATTAGTATTGTTCATGGCATGTATAGAAAGGATGGATTATCTGTTGAAGAAGTAGCAAGAGTTGTAGACGCATTTCCAAACCAAGGTACCTTTTGCACAACATTATTTCAAAAACATAATTGGACTTCCATTTTTTCGCTTGTGTATTATGCTGTTAGAATACAATTCATCGTTGTAAGGATGTTGTTTAGCATTCCTTATGATTTGGTGTCCACAATTATAGGTTTGGCCTCACATTTGAGTGAAATTAGTGTTTAGTGATCAGCAAATGCTTTGTTTCTGTTAAAAATTAATTTAGTTATCTAAGAGCCAGATAAAATATTGGTACTGCTGAAGAATTGGGCTTAGAAATAATATCCAAGCTCATAAGCAATCCACTTCATTCTTCGAAAAAATTTTATTCAAGAACTAAATGAACATTCTGCAGCTCTGGACTTCTATGGAGCTTTGAGATCCAGGACATATGATCAGGCTATCTTGGAGGTATTTTTTCCATTTTATAAAGATATTATTTAAAATTCATATGGTTGGTTGTAGAAAAAGAACTTTAGGCTGTGCTTGTGCAACAATCTAGGCCATGCCTGTTAGTTTCAGCAGATGCGTAACATATATGCTTGTGCATTTCTGTTTGTCAGATAAATTGTTTGCCATGGAAGTATATATAGCATATGGGTCATGTTTGGCATGTAATAACTACAAACAGACATAATTAGAGCTGAATTCTGAAAATATAGATGTTGGCCTGTGTCAGGGTATTCAGAATGGAAAGGGGCGCTTTTTTCCCCACCGCAGCTTCTGAAAATGCTGTTCAGATTCAGACATAGCCGAAGTAACATATCACTGTTTCCCTTGCACTGCAGTGGGTCGAAGAAATTGGTGGACATGAACAGCTAAGTGTAAAGCTTCTTAAGCGAAAGAAAGGAGAGGAGCTTCCAACATTTATACCACCAAAGGTATTCAGTATTGAAGCATATATACTACTACCTCCAGACTCCAGTCAGGATAGCAAGACGTTCTTCAGACATTCACTAAACAAACTGACCAGCATGTCTCATGTCTGAAACGTCATGCGTTTTTGACTGGAGGGGGTAGATGAGTTAACTGATTAGACTGCTAATTTTTTTTCATCCGTTTTGAGAAACCAGTACCATGACTGACACCCTGATATTATTTTTTTCTACTCGCAACCAGCCATCACTGGAAGCATTGATTGAGTCAGGGTACTCGCTGGTGAAGGAGCAAGAACTAATAATGAACTCAAAACTATCAAAAGAGTACATGAAGAACTTAGAATAGTTTGATTTGATACACGAGAGGGTAACCACCAGAGTCGGTGCTGCTTCGATTTCAGAAATCTCCGAGAAATCGTGGGTTCAGATATGAACTGCTGAAAGGATGGATGCATATCGGCATTGTCCTTGACTCCTTGCTCTCATCATGGATTGTCAAAAGTCTTCGGTTTGACTTGGAAGACTTGTGAGCTGTGGCACAAAGTAGCCCGTGTATGTATGTGGAGCGGAAGCGTCCAAAGAGCCATCAATTCAATCCTTCTTCTTCTGCCTATAATATCTGATGCCATTTCAGTTCACACAGTTTATACTTGCAGGATCGTACACGTGTGCAGGTTGACATTTAATAATACTAGTACTGGCAATATGAAAGTTGCAGAAATCCTATACCTGACTTTCTTGCCACATTTGGGAACGAACGATTCCGCTAGGAATTTCTCAGATTTCCTTGACATGAAAGATCTGGCAGTATATATCCTTCAGCATTTCTGCTATTTTCTGCTATGTAGAAACTTTTTGGACTCAGAGATGTATACACGGAAATTAAATTACTAATCTGGTGAAGATAGATATGGTTAGTTATAGCAAAGGACACGAGACCTTGATCCGAATTAAAAGCTTTTCTTTGCTTGTGGGAAACCAATCCAACAAATACACGACGACTAAACTAGCTTAATTAGCTAGCTTAATGAAGCCTTTTTACTTCCGTGGCAGAGACGATGAGTCACGGGCGTGCATGGCCGATATTAGGAATGGGCGCCTGGCGCAGGGCGCGAGGCAACGTGTAGGGTATCCAACAGGGGTTAGGTGGCAGGCGGCGTCTCCTCCCCTTTCTGCCTTGTACTTAAGCTCGCCGCTTCTGTTCACAGTCCATGTTTGTTTTCCTCCTCCTGCTTCGGTTCCTTCTTGCCCCCTCCCCTCTCTCTGGCAAAGACGGACGGCCGACGACAACGGGTTGTCGGCGGCGGCGCTTACCGGCGGACGGAGGCGGCGTCGATGGAGTGGTGGCAGAAGGCGGTGGCGGTGCCGGTGAAGCGCGCGTGGATCGTCGTCGCCGCCCGGCTGACGACGCGCCGCAAGAAAGACGGTAAGATCATCATCGCCGCCGCCGTTTATATTATCCGATCCGTTAGTTCATTCACTCATTCATCCCAGCATCCAAATAAAGCTTCTTCTTTCTTTTTGTGTGTGCGTGTGTGAATGTAATAATCTCTCAATCTGCGTATGGCCGTCTACTGCATGCCTTGATTGGTCATTGGTTTACTGATCGATTTCTTTTGTCTGGCGAACAGTCAGTCCCTGATCCTGAACAATCCCTGACCGTATATAGTTCCCATCTGATGTCTAGCATCGTTTAGCTTAGAGCTGGTGAATCGTTTCAGACTTTCAGTAACAATAAGCTAAGATTAGAGTAACCATTGCAATGTGGAACAGTCTAGAATAGAACGAAGACATCGTCGTGACCGGTTATTCAGTTCTAACAGCTAGCTAGCTAGCCAATATAGCCACCAGTTTGTTTAATTTCTTTGATCGTCGTCAGAGTAAACACGTGTCGCGCGTGCAATTTGTGATTAGCAGCAGATGACGAACTGACGACGCTCATCATGCGTGCACGCACCGCATAGAATGGTGATGGATATGCATGCACATCCATCATGGCAGGCATGAGGGCTGCAGGCAGCATGCGGCATGCATGCGTGGCCGTGTCGTTTTGCTCCCGTGCAAGAGGACAAAGCAGAGTATGAGCAGGGGTCAGTGCAGTGGACAACGCATGCATGGAAGTTTGCAGCTTTTTTTTCTTGCTTTTCCTTGCACCAAAGTAGGAGTACAGTACATGTAGGATACTTTTTTTAAGGCCTCGTTGACGCAGAGCTGTTTTAATTCTCAAACACTTATTTCTAAAATAGCTTCATCTAAGCTGTTTTTTTTCTCTCTATCGTAAAGACATGAGTTGGAATAAAGTTGTAAAAAGTAGCCCCGGCTCTCTCCCTCATTTCTCACTTACATCCATACACGAAGTTATTGGTGAAGCTATTTTGTCAAATATTTTTTCTAAAACAGCTCAGCTTCCCTCCTAAAGTTGTTCGTGACGCTGTTTTTCCAAAAAAAAAAAAGTTTCGTTGGAGCGGCACGTGGCTGGATGTGGGGGTGCATGCGGCGTCTTGCCGCTCGGCTGGATTGGATTGCCTGCATGTTTTGTACTCTTTGAAGAGTCAAACTTTGTAGAGTTTAATTAATTAACTATATTTGTTAATAGGATATATATTATGATATGAAAAAATATATATTCAACTACAAATCTATTGATACCTTTATTTTACATATTATGAACAAATTATTTTCTTAGTAACAAGGTCATATATACATCGAGAGCTAAAAAAACACCTATGTCTGTAGATCTGGTGAAGCATAAAGCAGCGTTGTCCATTTTATTTTATGTTTTTAAGATGGCAAACGGAGCTTCTCACATACTGGTACTGGTGCCGCAAGCCGGCTGGCACCTACCAGGCACGTGACACGTCACTCAGATAGATAGACATCTAGGAACTATATATAGGTCCTGTTTAGATCCCATCCAAAATCCAAAATTTTCCAAGATTCTCCGTCACATTGAATCTTGCGGCACATGCATGGAGCATTAAATGTAGATAAAAAGAATTACTAATTGCACAGTTTGCCCGTAATTGGCGAGACGAATCTTTTAAGCCTAAATAGTTCATAATTGGATCATTTTTGCCAAATAAAAATGAAAGTGCTACAGTGTCCATTTTCCAAACCAGAAGGATCTAAACACCCCCATAGCTTGGTTTTTATACTAGTGGGAGTAAATATAGAACCGGCATGCATCATGTACAGTATAAAGCTATAGCTAGGAAACAAAAGAAAAATGGAGATGAGCAGGGAGCAAAGAGTAACACCTGGGCCTGCACCGACGAACGAACTCCTTCTATATATAGAGAGCTTCTGGAAGCGATGCCGCCGTGGCATGCTGTAGCATCACACTAGCATCTTTATTTGACCCACTTAACCACGCATGACCAATTCATTCTGTCATGTCATCACACTAGCAAATCTGGCTTGTCAGCAAGTCTTGTACGTGTGCTCATTACATTACACACCGGGGGTTACGTGGATACGTGCACTTTGTCACGGCGCTGCCACACCCCGTACACGTGTCAATCCAGGGCACTGCAGTTAATTAGTGACTGGCTTCCACCCCGTAATCGTGCATCGATTGAGTCCAATCAGTTGGCATCAACGTCACACCCATGCCATGCATAGTTTAATCACTACGTGGGTCCCTTTCTCATGTGGAGCTGCGTGGCGCGTACGCCAAATAATGTACACATTCAGGTGTACTGTAGTATATGGCACTCCATCATCAACCCATCTTCCTTCCTGCTAGACAATCTTATATACCAAAAAAATCCTTCTAGAAGACGGGGGAACTTTTCACTGACTATTTTGACAGGATACATGTTGTAACATTGCAAGTTAAGCATGACCAGTTTTCAGCCGTGGCAGATTCTGAATTATTGGATTTTAGAGGGAGCGAGCAGCAACAGGGGAACCAAAAACTGAAACAGAGAATCTGACCTGTACTCTGAACGCTTGTTGTCCCCCACCCCCCCGTGACCAGCCCTATCCCTGAATCTCCCATCGAGGCTGTTGCTGTTGCTGGTGATGCTGCGAGGCTACGAGAAGTGGCTGAAGTGAACAGCGGAAGGCAACCAAGAACAACACGTGCCCCATCAGCCGCGCCATGGCATCCATCTCTCAGAGGGTCGCAGGAAAGCATGGCCGACCTGCCACTGCCAGAAGCATCGCATCTTTCGTTCCCCTGTCACGCTCACACAAAAGAGGATTAGCTAGTGTACAAAATAGCTCCGGTTGTTCAAGAAAATAAAATTTATTCTTAAATACTACAAGTAACACACTTTTTCTTTTTCCTCCTCGGAAGAAAAATAGCTGATGATATGTAGCCTGTTCGCTTGCTCGTAAACGATCGTAAATTTCCAGCCAGGAACAGTATTTTTCTCTCACACCAAACTAGCCAGCAGTAAATAATCCACGATACGATACGGCCTCCCGAACAGGCTGATGTGCTTGTGCTGACGAAACTAACCCTTGTGTTTGCATGCTTTCAGACGGCGGCCACAGCGTGCTGGTGAAGCTCCACGACGACGTCCAGACGTGCGCGTACGAGGACGTGCAGGTGATGTGGGAGATGCTGCAGCGGGCCGAGACGGACAGGCAGGCGCGCGAGCCCTCGCCCAAGGGCGCCCGCGCGTTCGTCTGGCTGCGCCGCCACCACAAGATGGACCCGCGCCGGCGCTGCTGAAGAGTACGAGACCCTGCTGATGCTTCCTTCCGGTTACGAAACGGTGTCTGTTCACACCTCTTTATACTCAGTGATCTCATCAACAGAGAAAGAGGATTAGCAGTTAGTTAGTATAAGCAGTTAGCATTACGAAGGGGCACGTCTCTTCGATAGTAGACTGTTCCAGTGAACAGTTATCTTTTCCTGAATAGTCATGTCTGTACGGCGTCCCTATAACGCGACCTTTCACTTGTATATAATCCAAAGAGATCAATGAAACAGACAGTTGTTCCCAAAATCTCTGTTCATTTACATTCACATTTAATACGTTATCAGTCACGTTCGCTCTTCTGGACAGAGAGAGAGAGAGAAAACGCAGAGGTAACGAAAGCCTGTGAACCAACACCAGTAAGCATCATGGCCAAAATTGACATCGTCTCACATCGCTCGTGGCTTGTTCTTCACCCTTCGCAGCGTCGGTGGAGTTCGCCGTGGCCCGATCCGCCACCACGGCCACCATGGACAGCGCCGCAGCGTCTTCGAGCGCCCTGGGCCTCGTGTTCGCCGCAACGCTGGCAATGGAGGCCATGGTCCTTTCGGTCGCCTCTTCGACTCTGCTATTCGTGGCCTCCGTGCCAATGCAGTTCTTCGCCGCCGATGGACTCCTGTTCGTGGCCGCCATGCTTCTCCTCCGCGCGATCTTCGTCTGCAGAGCCAGCCACTATCTCCTTGCCTTGGCTTGGACGGTGCCGGCCCCAGCAACGTCGAACCGTGCACTGTTGAAGCCTCGGCACCAACAGTCGTCGAAGCCCCGGCGCCGTCCATTGAAGCAGTGGTGGTCACGCCCACCTATGTCCCCATGGAGCCGATGTCGCCGGCACCGGCACCGCCTCGCTTTTGGTGCGACTTCTGCAAGGAGTTCACCTCGATCCCGCACACGCTCGAGTACGCCTACTCGCTGCCGACGCCCACACCAGCCTCTCCGACTCCAGTGGCGATAGGCAACGGCGTCCCCCCACTCGATCCGTGGTTTCTGAACACGCAGGCTGCTCCCGCGCTTGACGCTGTGAAGGTTGAGGAAGAGGAGGACGTGGTGACCGGCCTCGGCATCGGCGACATCTTCAACAGCGCGGCGAGGACTGGCGTCTCACCATACTTCTTCCTCGACAGGGCCGGACCCTCGGCTCCGCCTCCGGCATGCGCGGGCCCCTCGGCTCCTCCTCCGGCGGCGACCCCGCCAACGGCTCCTCCGCCCGCGACACGCGCGGAGGCTGTGGCCCGCATGAAGGAGAAGGCTCTCCCGGCGGCTCCTCCAACTTCTGCTGAGGGCAGCGCCACCACGCCCCCCATGATTCAGCGTCTCCTAGATCGTAGGGTGGCCGCGGTGGATTCCACCCTGCTGCAAAGCCTGTCGACCAGCCTAAATGGCCTTTGCACACTTGGGCTGATGGCCCAAATCTACCTGCTCCTTTGTCCCCACTCTACTGTGCACGCACGAACAAATTTCCATGGGCCCAAATGTGATGAAACCAGTCCTAATTAGTCCAGACGATTTGTTATTTTATTTAATATTTTCAGCATTAATTCGTATAAGACTCTGTTAGTCCCTTATAATTATGTACTGTAAAATTAAGTACTCTTATGTTTAGTCGCTGACTTTAACTATAGTTGTACTTGTGAAATTTTATCATTGTAAAATATCCATTTATGATATTATTCAAAGTATTTGTCCATGTATGTATGGCAAATCCAATAAATAATATCCTTGTTATTACGACCATGATCTTGCAAATTATTTTTTCATTTATCACTTTTGCAATCGATCATTTTATTTAAGCCCCTTTTATGCTTTTCGACTTTAAAGCACTACGGCCTTAAATAATGGATGCGACATTTTATGTATATTTTCTCATCAATTGTATAACGTGTATGTTCCCTATTTGTTTGTTGGCCATACACAAGGTAGCACCACTATTGCTACTGCGGGATCTACACTAAGTAAACACTTAGTGACTATCCTCAACGTGCGTACCCCATCATAAATTAGAACATTTGGTCTATATTTTTTTTCACAAAGATGACTACCATTAATTCGTATTTCTATTGGCCATACACAAGGTAGCACCATAGTTGCTAATGTGGGATTTACACTAAGTCCACAACTTAGTGACTATCCTCAACGTCATGCACCCAATTTGTTTGCGAATTGACTAAGGTCTACATCATTCTTATGACTACCTTAAGACGTGTTTATATAACTTGCATAATTACTTGGCATCTCTGCATTAATACAGACTATGCCCAATTTGAGGTCTACACTTTTATGGTGACTACCTCCATTATTTTATTATACACATGAGATCTTTACACCATTAATAATACAAGATTTATCTTGTCTCTATTTTGCATCCCATAATTACAACACACCACAATATTTTAATAACTTAAAATGTTTTGATGGTTTGCCTCGTGTAGGATCAATGACCGTCAAAGAGTTTGATTTGCTTGCTCTAGACGGCCACAATTATTCCACATGGGTTGTGGACGTAAATGTTAGTCTTGACGTCCCGTGGACTTTATCGAGCTGTGTTACCACCGAAGAGGTGTTGCACCACTTGATAATCAACATGTATACACGGCCCTATATCTCATTATTAGAAGCCATATTCATCCTCGATCTTAAGGCTTGAATACTTGTTGGAAGAGAACCCACGAAATATATGGAATTCTCTTAAGCAACGCTTATGAACAACAAAAGACACTTGTCCTACCTACGGCCAACTATGAGTGGACGCAACTTCGCTTCTGAGGATTTCAAAACTATGAGTGATTACAACCATGTTGTTCATAGGATTTGCTCAAAGTTACAATTCTGCGAGAAAGAACCTACAGATGCAGATAAAATAGAAAAGACTCATCTACTATGCTTCCCTCTGAAAGGATTCTTCAACAACAATACCGTGAAAAAGACGTTTCCAGGTTTATTCGAGCTTATACAAACTTTATTTGAGGTCGAAAACATTCTCGAACTTATGGTTTAGAATAATTAGCAGCGCCCCGTAGGGTCTGCTCCATTGCTGAAGTACATGCTTACACTTAGAATAAACCCAAATTTGATGGTGGATTTTCTAAGACCCATCCTTAGGGAAATTCTAAGAAAGGTAAAAAACAACGCAGACGCAATAAGAAATCCTAAACTCGTGTTTCCAACAATGATAAGAACATTTCCAAACACAGAATAACAAACCTATGTGTCAAGTGTTGTTGTTATAGCCATACTACAAAAGAAATGTCGTATCCCAAGTCATCTTGTTGATCTCTACTTAAAGTCTGGGTCGCGAACATGCTGCACCAGGACAGAAGTATGAAGCCCGTTCAACATTCGACTTGACAGACACCAGAATGAGGTGGTTGTTCACAACAAGTTCCAATGGAACCAAGCAACAACAACATACGAGGAGGCGAGGATCTTGCTGATACGGGGAATATGATCGTGGAATATGCATCCAACGATATATTTGGAGACTTTGAATAGGCTCCCAATCCCTTAGATTCTATTGTCTTTATGTCCTAGTGATTATAATAATTAAAATAATTTATGTCCTATGTATTGTAAATATTTAATAATGTCATCACTCTTTAGTTTGAATACCCAATAAATATATTGTACACATTTGATATTCAATAAATAAAGTATGTATTCTATATATCATCAAAGAGTTTAATATCAAATTCTTTATTTATATATAGTTGCTACGGGGGTCAATCTGATGGAGGAGAAATTATGCCTAGTGGACAGTGGTACCACTAATTCTATACTTAGAGAAACAAAGTATTTCCAAACTCTTACAAAAAGATAAGGAAATATTTTGACAATCGCCGGGTGCGATGCTACAATAGTTGGCTCTAGTCGTGCCACTATTGTACTCCCTATGGGTACCCAAATTACAATTGAGGATGCATTATTGTATCCCGATTCAAAGCGTACCTTGTTAAGTTATAGAGATATTCGTCAAAATGGTTTTCATATAGAAACCCGTGATGACAATAATGAGGAAATTCTCCTTGTTACTAAAAATAGCGGATATGGCAAACGAATTGTTGAGAAAATTCCCCCTTTTTCGTCCGGATTGTACTACACATACATCAAACCCGTACCGCATGTTGCGTACAAGATAATTTTTCAGAATGTTGACTCATTTAAAACTTGGCATGAACGCCTTGGCCATCCTGGTATAGGGATGATGCGAAAAATTATCAGCAATTCTAATGGTCATGAGTTAAATACTGCTAAATTCCCCAAATCTTCAGATTTTATGTGCACTTCATGCGCTATAGGAAAATTGATCGTACGGTCATCGCCCGTTAAGATCTAAAATGAGCCACTAAAATTTCTTGAACGCATTCAAAGAGATATTTGTGGCCCCATACAACCAATGTCTGGACCATTCATGTATTTCATGGTTCTAATAGATGCATCTACGAGATGGTCTCATGTGTGTCTTTTATCCACACGTAACCATGTATTTGTAAAAATTATTGCTCAAGTTATTAGACTTAGAGCACATAATCCTGAACATCAAATTCAATCAATTCGAATGGAAAATGCTACTGAATTTTTCTCAAAGGCTTTCAACAATTATTGTATGGCTTTGGGAATTTAAGTTTCAACACTCATCACATATGTCCATACACAAAATAATTTAGCATAATCTCTTATTAAAAGAATTAAACTCATGGTAAGACCGTTATTACAAAATTGCAACCTACCAACTTCATGTTGGGGTCATGCAGTCTTACACGCTGCTGACTTAATTCAATTGCGACCAACTGCATATCACACAGTCTCTCCATTGCAATTAGTATGTGGGAATATGTCAAATATTTCCCATCTCAAGAAAATCCGGTTATTATTTGATACGCATCGATCTCACCGCCTAAGCGTGCCTCAGGGCCACATAGGAAACTTGGTACCTATGTGGGATATCAATCTCCATCAATTATTAAAACCTCGAGCCTCT